CTAAAACCAGCCTAGGCTGGTTTAAGCTGGATTTTTCAGCAGGGAAGGCACTGATTCTCATTCAGGGCTCCTGAAAACAGTAATGTACGGTTTCTTCATCTTAAATAAGAGTCCTTATCTACCTGGAAACTGTTTTATTGTGTTTACTGAACGTCTCTTTGGGTAAATAACCATAAAATGATGTTAATTACTACGTAGATGTATGTAATGCACAAATGATGTGTTAGTGTGATTTCTGAACATGTCTTTTCTAAAAGTTTGTGATTGAGGTAAAGTTGCTTTTATTTTCACACATTCAGACTTTGCCCTTAATATAATAATTTCACAAAAGTATTATTCGCAAATTTTAAATAAGGAAATCATCTTTGCAGCTAATGACTATCAAAGCACACCATTGTTCACAGTCAGTAAAATAGTTTTAATGTCATACTTAAATCTGATTTCTGACTGAATAGTTAAAATTAGCCTGGTAAACAATATAAAGACAGTTCAAATGAGCGAATGCATGAATATAAAATCAACTTTTAAAATATTTAAATAGTTACATGACATCAAACACTTCAATTATTTATCATTTTCTTTTCGGCTTAGTCCCTTTATTAATCTGGGGTTGCCACAGTGGAATGAACCGCCAATTTATCTTGCATATGTTTTACACAGCGGATATCACTTTAATTATTTACACAGCACACTATAATTATTAAATTATTTTCCAAGCTGTCCACTGCAACATTCGAGAGTTTATTTTCATAGTTGTTTGTTTCACAATTGATTACTAAATGCGATAATTATTTATAACAATTTATACTTTAATCTCAAACCTATTTTATTATAATAAAGTATTTCTAATGATTTATGTGTCATAATTTAAACTTTTTTTTTTTTATTCTACTTCCCTCCCCCCATATTTGTATATATTTATTGGATATTCATGAGATATATTCATTCATTTTTCTTCAGCTTAGTAATCAGGGGTCACCACAGCGGAATGAACCAACTCATTCATTCATTTTCTTTCTGGCTTAGTCCCTTTATTAATTAGGGTCGCCACAGCGGATTGAACCACCAACTCATTCATTCATTTTCTTTCTGGCTTAGTTCCTTTGTTAATTAGGGTCGCCACAGCGGAATGAACCACCAACTCATTCATTCATTTTCTTTATGGCTTAGTCCCTTTATTAATTAGGGGTCGCCACAGCGGAATGAACCACCAACTCATTCATTCATTTTCTTTCTGGCTTAGTCCCTTTGTTAATTGGGGTCGCCACAGCGGAATGAACCACCAACTCATTCATTCATTTTCTTTCTGGCTTAGTCCCTTAGTTAATTAGGGTCGCCACAGCGGAATGAACCACCAAATCATTCATTCATTTTCTTTCTGGCTTAGTCCCTTTGTTAATTGGGGTCGCCACAGCGTAATGAACCACCAAATCTTTCATTCATTTTCTTTCTGGCTTAGTCCCTTGGTTAATTAGGGTTGCCACAGCGGAATGAACCACCAACTCATTTATTCATTTTCTTTCTGGCTTAGTCTCTTTATTAGTCAGGGGTGCCACAGCGGAATGTACCGCTAACTCATTTATTTTCTTTTCAGCTTAGGCCTTTTTTTTAAGCAGGGGTCGCCACAGCGGAATGAACCACCAACTCATTCATTCATTTTCTTTCTGGCTTAGTCCCTTTGTTAATTGGGGTCGCCACAGCGGAATGAACCACCAACTCATTCATTCATTTTCTTTCTGGCTTAGTCCCTTTATTAATTAGGGGTCGCCACAGCGGAATGAACCACCAACTCATTCATTCATTTTCTTTCTGGCTTAGTCCCTTTGTTAATTGGGGTCGCCACAGCGGAATGAACCACCAACTCATTCATTCATTTTCTTTCTGGCTTAGTTCCTTTGTTAATTGGGGTTGCCACAGCGGAATGAACCACCAACTCATTCATTCATTTTCTTTCTGGCTTAGTCCCTTTATTAATCAGGGGTCGCCACAGCGGAATGAACCACCAACTCATTCATTCATTTTCTTTCTGGCTTAGTCCCTTTATTAATCAGGGGTCGCCACAGTGTAATGAACCGCCAACTCATTAATTAATTAATTTTCTTTCTTGCTTAGTATCTATTAATCAGGGGTCGCCACAGTGGAATGAACCACCAAATCAAATATGTTTTACGCAGCAGATGCCCTTCCAGCTGCAACTCAGTACTAGGAAACACCAATGCACACACACACTCACACACTCATACACTAGGGCAAATTTAGTTGATCAATTCCCCTATAGTGCATGTGTTTGGACTGTGGGGGAAACCGGAGCACCCGGAGGAAACCCACGCCAACACGGGAGAACATGCAAACTCCACATAGAAACACCAACTGACCCAGCCGGGACTCGAACCAGCGACCTTCTTGCTGTGAGGCCTCAGTGCCAACCACTGAGAATGAGTGATTGTAGTTAAATCATCTTAACATGTTTCTTTATTGTCATCTGCTGTGGATGCAGGTATATCGTGCAGTTCAGTAGAACAGAAGATCTACGTCGAACTCAATAAAACTGCCCCGTGTGTCCGGCTGCTGAACGCCACGCATCAGATCGGCTGCCAGTGTGAGTATTAAACATTGATGATGACCTGTCATGCAGTTTTTTTCAGCTGTAAAATGCGTCTCTGATGTCTCTAGAGTGTGTGTAGTGAAGTTTGAGCTCAGAATGGCACACTAATAACGTCCTCTAACTCTGTTTTCTGTCCGTCTCAGCCTCTATATCAGGAGATACGGGCGTTGTTCATGTGCTGGAGAGCGAATCAGACCTGGACTGGATCCTCAGCGCTGGTCCTCATCCACCCTACATGGTCATCATGGAAACCGCCTTCTTCAATAGGTGAGTCACGGCAATATGGAGTACGAATTATATTTAAAATCATTACAACATGTGCAGCAGAGTGTGTTTATGTGCAGCTCCTGATTGTTTCGTATAACGAAGAGATGCAACTATTAAATTACTCATGAATGCAGATGCTAATAAGCATGCTAAGTGAACAGATGTGTTTATCTGAGAAGCAATGCTGAAGTCTGCCTTTACTTATCAGAGGTCGCGTTAGACTTTGTCATTGTCTGTCATGTTGACGGACAGGGATATAAAACTTGTTATTGACCGTCATTTAATTTGCATATTTTCTAATCGCTTTTTTCATTGATATTTTAATAATGAACTTGCACGACGAGCATATAGGCTAAATTATTCATTTATTTATTGGACAAATGAACAATAACTCCTATCTGCCTTACCTCATATCTTCCTCCTGCGTCGACCTGAACTGGTTGCTGTGCTGTGCTGTGCGTAATCAAACGCATCAAGGGAGACTGTCTTTGCCTCGGAAAGTCGACTTCTCGTGACCAAAGACCAGATTTACTAGCGCCGCTTCAGCCAGTGTTTTGTAGTCAGGAAACATTCCTCCTGAAGGCATATTTATACTTCTGCGTCAAACGGCGGCGTATGCTACAGCGCTGACGCATAGCTCTTCGCCGTGGCCGTCGACGTCGCTGATGTGCACCTCTCAAAAATTGTAACTACACGACGCAACCACGCGTAGCGCAAGCTCTGTGATTGGTCGGCTTGGTAGCACTGACGAGTCTGGGCGGGACCGAGAGCTGCGTGAATGGTGCGAGCCCGATGGAGCGATTGTTTACAAGTGTGGAGTCCTGTGAAGGAGCTCCTGATGGACAGTTTTGTTTTGTGTTTACCTCATAGTTAAAGTTGCTGCACGTCTGCTGGTTCCTGCCTCAAAATGAGCGAGTTTGAGCCACTTGTACAACCAGGAAGTGTTCAGGAAAAGCAAAACAGCAGAGAAGAAACTCGACACAGAGGAACATTAACACCTCACTGCCAACTAGCACTTCAGAAGTGTTAATGCAGACCAACAGAGACAGCAGCAGAAGTATAAATGTACAGCTGCGTGTGTTGCATGCGGCGTGGGTTACGCCGGTCACTTGACGCAGAAGTATAAACCAGGCTTAAGGCTGTGATCAGAACGTTTGCTGGATTCTCTGAATGTGGGATTTCCCGATCCTGCAAGCACTCGTTTCACCGGGAAATAATACTGCAGCACGCTCTCCTTCTGCACCTCTCTGAGTCCGGTAGTGCTCAAAACGCACCCCAGATAGCAAAATACACTCGGGTCAGTTCCGGCTAGATTCTCGCCTGCTGGAGACTCCGGCTGCTGTACTCAGGCTGGATGCCTGGGGACTCACTGCCCGATTCCAGCCGAGTCCGAGTCAATCGGGCCAGATGCGAGGGCCGTAAGCAAGCTGCCGCATCCGCGCCAGAATCGGTCCGCGAGTAATGTGCACTGTGGCGCGACTCAGGGTGCTTTGACACCTGTGAATGGATTCAGGTGTTCTGAAACAGAGATTACAATTGTTACAGTGCTGCTCTTTGCTCTTGGAGCGGTTCACTTTCACACTGCAAAGTTTCTAAACGGACCAAAAGAGCTAAAACAAGTCACGTGCGAGTAATACACTTATTAAAAATATAAACATAGCTAAGCAGCTTGAAGTATAAGGCATGCTTGTTATGGTTTCTGTTGCCAGTCTGGCAGCATGTCTGTGTGCCAAGTCATCCTTGTCGTCGTCGGAGGAAGAGGAGGGGACAAAAAAACTCTCTGTAATATTTTGAATTTGGACCGCAACACATAGTACAATCTTACATAGTGCTCCATTAGCATAGATTATAAATATTGCACTCTCTTAACCTGTGTGTGTGCATGTGTGCTTCTGTGTGTGCATGCATGTGTGTTTGTCTGTGTGCATCTATGTGTGTGCATGCATGTGTCTTTCTGTGTGTGCGTGCATGCATTTGTATGTATGTGCGTGCATATGTGTGTATGTGTCTGTGCGTGCGTGTATATGTGGTTGTGTGTGTGTGTGTGTGTGTGTGAGTGAGTGAGTGAGTGAGTGAGTGAGTGAGTGAGTGAGTGAGCGAGCGAGCGTGCGTGCGTGCGTGTGTGTGTGTGTGCATTCATGTGTGTGTGTTTTCCTCTCTCCTCCTCCAGATCTGTCATGTTGAGCATGAAGAACTCC